ACCTACATGTACAGTATACTAGTAGTAACAGCATAAACAGAATGAAAGAGACACTTTCAGCCTTGGAAAGATCAAAGTAACGTCTCCCTTGGAATATGAACATCACAAATGGCTACAGTATCCCTCAAGTACCCATACCAGTACTCCTAACCAGATGCGCATTTGTAGCAAATAACATGATCATCAATGCTTGACCAATAAAAATTCACAATCTACATGTATTACTGTGGTACCGGTACCGTACATGTACAGTCTAGCAGTCTCTTACAAATCGTAGGACATGAGACATGTACATGTACATCTTGTCTGTTGTGGAGACTGATGGGAGCAAATTTTCATCCCCGCAACTCAGTACCTACATGTACCGGTACATGTACCGGTAACAAAGCAAGCATCTCTTTAACCTGGGGAAGGTCTACATGTACCGTACACATGTAGCGGCACCAGTCCATGTCTGCCAGGATGCATGTACATGGCATATCTACATGTACATAATCTGCCCCATGTACCGGTACATGTACCGGTAACAAAGCAAGCATCTCTTTAACCTGGGGAAGGCCTACATGTACCGTACACATGTAGCGGCACCAGTCTATGTCTGCCAGGATACATGTACATGGCATATCTACATGTACATAATCTGCCCCATGTACTGGTACATGTACATTAGACCTTTTATGCATAGAAATCCAACCTGTCAATGAGCACTATATACATGTACAATTGTACGTGTGTGTACCAAAATGTAATTTGTATCTGGTGCCTTTTCCTGTCAATGAATTAAAATTTAATTATCTGGCATACTGGTACATGTACATGTACAATGCCTTCATGATTCTATCACAAACAAACAATATTACAAAGGCTGTCAATATGCATGACGAAGAGCTGGAGTATTGGTCCTCTGCTGTTTTCCAGATGTTATAAGCAAAACCACTTGTAAGAAGAGCAATTATACATAAACAGGTACCGGTGCCGGTATGTACATATATGGTACAAGCTACAATACGGTACATGTGTGTGTCTGTGACCATACGCTCGCCACGGCCCTAATTTTGCCACTTATTGTCAAATCTGATTGATTTTTACACTTAGTAACAAAATAAAGGAACTGTACTGTCCTCGGACATTGAATGGACTACATGTATACATGTTTGGTACATGCAGTAAATTAATGTACTCTTTTTAAACGTACATTTACACTACATATACAGTACATTCAATTGATTCATTAATTACATATGTATTTAAAGAAAAGCACTCCAAAAAATCCATTGTCCTATTTCACAAACTTGCACAGCAAATTTATGCAAGTGTATAAATCATGCATCTGTGCTTTGGTAGTCCAAAAGTGTTATGTCAAAAGCACATACATGTACATGTACATGTACAGTGTATGTAAATGTACAGTAAATGTATACGGTACACGCGCCAGTATCCTGAGCATGTACATGTAGGTATATACACAAAGCAGGTACATGTACATGTAATTGGCATGGTG